TCTCTGTAAGAGTAGGTGGAGCTATTTGATTAGGTGGCTTATTCCAAGTTTGGACCACTCATACAAATCTCTTATTGAGCAGAAATCTGCCTCTTGCTGAACTTAACTAGTCTTGTCTAGAGCCATTCTTTCAATTTTCATGACAAGTTTCTAGTTTCTTTACCATTCTTGCTTGCTTTCCTGGATATTCTCCAGTTTGTCAATGCCTGTTTTGATAAATTTCTTAAAGAAGCAATATACTGTAGCTTTGGTCTCAGTACATTATAGAACTGAATCATTTTCCTTAATTTTGATTCCTAATTGTATTAATATCTTGGAATCACATTATCCTTTTTCGTAGGCATAGCACCCTATTAGGGCAGAAAAAAATGTAGCATAATTGTAGTAGTACAGGTCAGATTGCCTAGTTGGAGTTGTACCTTCACAAGTTGAGCCTGGGCCCCATTGTCTTCTGTAGGGTAGTTTAGTTTCTCATGGGTAGGTTTATGAAAGGATCAAATTAAAGTAAGTATTAGAAGTGTTATCTTTATTACTGAAATAGCTTTATAAACTTTTTTCTTGTCTATTGCTGCATAACCATTCAAAACATAGTAACTTAAAACAATGATTTATTCCTTCTTGTGATCCTGCGGTTTGCCTCAACTGCAGCTCTTCACATGGTGTATTGGCTGGAGTCACTCATTTCTGCATTTGGCTGGGGCAGAAACACCTGAATGGCTTTACCTAACCTGTCCCACCCCTGGGGCTAGCTTGGCCTTTCTCTCCAGCAGGGTAGTTTGACTTTTTATATGCTAGCCTAGGGTTCCAAGAGCGAAAGGGGAGGCTGCCAGTCTTGGGTTAGGCTCAGAAATGGAACTGAGTCCCTTCCACTGCATTCTCTTGGTCAAAGCAAGTCATCAAAGTTAGCCCGGACTCAGGAGAAAGGAAATAAATTCCACATCTTGACAAGAGGAGGAATGGCATATGTGTGTACAGGGATGGCAAGGGAGTTAGTGGAGGCTGTCTTTGGAGATTGTCTACCACAGTTCTGTTTTTTCCTAGCCAATTGAACCAAGTGTTAGCCCCTTTATTTAATCTTTAATAATATTTATTTAAATATTTATTTAATCTTTAATATCCAGTCTGTCTTCTTGTGTTTTAAGTTTTAATGGTTCTTAGAGTTTTGTCATCAGAAGATACAATAGACAAAAGTATGCCATTTATCCCGTTCTCAGCTTTTTACTTGTAACAGCTTTATTGAAGTATAACTGACATACAAAGAACTGCACATTTTTGTAGTGTACAGTTTAATGAGCTTGCTTTCTCAACTTGTAGTCAGCATTTCACTAGAAACATTTGTTTGCCACTGTTGATACTTAACTCTTGGTCCTTTTGGTCTATCGGGTCAGTAAGCTGCTTGATTACTGTTGTCTTGCCTTCCTATTACTTGTAGTTTCTGGTTAATATCTTTTAAAGTTGTTTCTGTTACTGTTTTATATGTTACGGTTAAAGCAGTGTTCACTTTGGGGGGAGAGGTGCTTAACTACTGTTTAAAAAATTTTCCTTGTGAGTTACACACAATGTTACTAGGGATATAGAAGTTAGTACTCATAAAAGATGTGTTACTACAGATGGGTTGTAACATTTCTTGTCACCTTGACTACACGTGTTTGTGGCCTTCATCTTGACATAGAATGAGTTAAAGTCATTGGAAAGTTGAAGGGGGGGCGCCTGGGTGGCTCAGTCATTAAGCATCTGCCTTCAGTTCAGGTCATGGTCCCAGGGTCCTGGGATCGAGCCCCGCATCGGGCTCACTGCTCAGCAGGAAGCCTGCTTCTCCCTCTCCCACTCCCCCTGCTTGTGTTCCCCCTCTTGCTGTCTCTCTCTCTGTCAAATAAATAAAATCTTTTTTTAAAAAAAAAAGCAAAGTTGAAGGACGTGACTAGGCAATGTTGTTCTCAGTTTCATTTGTCTTCCTTGCTAGACCACTTAACACAAAGTTAGAGATGACCTTGCCCACCATTTATTTCTCAGTGTTTAGCACAGGGGCATTTAAATACTTGGAGAATTAAGTGAATGTGAAAAATAGGTTTAAGCAGTAAAATATGAAATAGAACTGCATAAGTGAAAAATAACTTTCATGTTTGGGCTTAGTTATTGTCAGTTTTATTTGAAGATATTTTAGTATAATCTTATGTAAATGAGTCAAAGACTTGTATATGGAGCCTTCTTTAAATTTATATATTTTTCTTTTGCTGTTTGAAGTTATTTGTGAATTCTGGTTAGTCACGTTATTACTTTTTCTTTAGTTAGACTTCATAGTCTAACCTTCAGCTTAGCCAGTCAGAAATTGAATTTACCATTTGAAGTGTGGAATGCCACCATTTATTAGACTGACTCCAAAGCCATTATGCTATACCATCTTCCATAGTTGAATGAATAATGTATTTTGTAGTAAGATATAAAACTTGAAAAGGCCTGGTCATTTGTTTCTTATGTGAAAAATTCATATTCACTTAAGTGAAAAATCCACTTACTATATTAAATGGAACTATCTTCTGTTTTTGAGGCAGATCCCAAAAGAGCTGCCATAGTCAGTGTGCAGAGAGTGCTTATGGGGGCGCCTGGTGGCTCAGTCATTAAGCATCTGCCTTCAGTTCAGGTCATGGTCCCAGGGTCCTGGGATCGAGCCCTGCATTGGGCTCACTGCTCAGCAGGAAGCCTGCTTCTCCCTCTCCCACTCCCCCTGCTTGTGTCCCCTCTGTCACTGTCTCTCTGTCAAATAAATAAAATAAAATCTTTAAAAATAAAAATAGAGGGCGCCTGGGTGGCTCAGTTGGTTAAGCGACTGCCTTCGGCTCAGGTCATGATCCTGGAGTCCCTGGATCGAGTCCCGCATCGGGCTTCTCTGCTCGGCAGGGAGCCTGCTTCTCCCTCTGACCCTCCCCCATCTCATGTGCTCTCTGTCTCTCTCATTCTCTCTGTCTCAAATAAATAAATAAAATCTTTAAAAAAAAAATAAAAATAGAAATAGAAAAACAAAGAGTGCTTATGTCCTAAAGAGCGTGGTGTTCAAAGGACAAATGCAGCTGAGAGGCCTTTGAATATGAAGGTATGGCTGTGGTATAATAAAGTTTTTGTTATCCTAACCAAAGTGTTCATCTGATTTTAGGCCAGTAGTTTCAAATATTGGTTAATAACCACAGGAAACGTAGTAGTTTGACTTCTCACCTTGACCCCCTTCCAGTAATGCAGTGCAGCTTGGCCCTACTGCCATGTTGGCCCCTGCCCACTTCATGTGGGTATCTGTAGCTTCAAACTGTTTTGCATATAAGTAGACTAAACTGCGTGATTGCCAGAAGGACAGAAACGAAGAATCAAGAATTCGATAACTCTTCTTGTAAAAATGGACTAGTTGGGGCTAAGCCCAATTGAAAACTGATTTTCACCTTGATTCCTAGGGTATTTTTAGCTAGGAGGAAAATTGGGGGTGGTGAGAATGGTTTTGTTTTCTGAGTATTTTTATTAACATTTGCCTAATTGTACTACTGGAATTACCTTTTTTCCTCTTAAAAAAAAAAACCCCACTAGTTTATTGTGCCTTCTCCCCTTAATACAACGATCTGATTTTTTTTTTTTTTTGCTTTAAATCAATTGTAGAATATAATTATTAGCATGCTAGGATTTAAATTAGTCTAGATTGTTAATAGTTTTAAACAAAATTATACAGGATGAAATTTTATCTGTTGGTATGGTCTGTAAATATTTTATTAGCTAAAAATCACTTTAAGGAAATTAATAAAAGGTTTACTCTTCAGATCTGTAATTCTCATAAACCTATCTACCACTGTCTTTATTTAGTTTTTTTTTTTTTAAAGATTTTATTTATTTATGTGAGAGAGAGAGAGCACAAGAGGGGGGAGCAGGAGAGGGAGAAGCAGACTCCCTGCCGAGCAGGTAGCCTGATGCGGGACTCGATCCCGGGACTCCAGGATCATGACCTGAGCCGAAGGCAGTCGCTTAACCAACTGAGCCACCCAGGGGCCCTTTATTTAGTTTTTTTAAAGATTGATTTACTTGAGGGAGAGGGTGAGGGAGACAAGAATCTCCAGCAGGCCCCCTGCTGAGTGGGGAGCCTGGTGGGGAGCTGGATCTCACAACCCTGAGATCATGACCTGAGCCAAAACCAGAGTGTGACGCTTACCGACTGTGCCACTTAGGCGCCCCATACCACTGTCTTAACTTTAATTAGGAACAATAAAACTTTGACTTTGAACAACTTGTTACCTGTTGTGAGGTTTTGCTTGAATTGTGTTCTTCTAAATGAAGTTGATTTTGTTCTGCTTTCTCGGTTATGGACTCTGGTAGTGTCTCTTAACATGATTGGTTTTTGCTTGAGTCATAATCCTCCAAGAGTCCCAAAAGTTTATCTCTTGTGTTCTTTCCATTCTAATGACTACCTTGAAAATGGAAAGTTTGTCAACTTAGTAGAAAAAGCTTGTTATGAGCTCTCATGCTTTCATATTCACTGAAGCATGTGGTCTTTATCAGCATGTAAACAGCACTGTGCGGGGGAGGCACATACTCAAAATGTGTCCTTAAGTAATAAACCCAACACTAACTTCACTTTTTAAGTATTGCTATCCAAAGCATTCTGCTTTTTAAAAGATTTTTTTTTTTTTAAAGATTTTATTTATTTGACAGAGACAGCGAGAGCAGGAACACAAACAGGGGGAGTGGGAGAGGGAGAAGCAGGCTTCCCGCCGAGGAGGGAGCCAGATGTGGGACTCCATCCTAGGACCCTGGGATCATGACCTGAGCCGAAGGCAGCCACTTAACGACTGAGCCACCCAGGCACCCTAGCGCATTCTGCTTTTAAACCACAAATTTATGAGCCTACTGCAGTTCAACTATTGTACTCTGGTAATAATTGGGTATTAGGCTGTAGTATGCTGTTAAGAAGTGAAGATTTTTTCAGTCTTGTAAATATTCTTATTGTGACTGTTTCTTTTCTTCCAAAGTCTCTTTTGGAAAAGTTTTTGATCCCCAATGCTTCACAAGCAGAGAGCAAAGTCTTCTATTTGAAAATGAAAGGAGACTACTACCGTTACTTGGCCGAGGTTGCTGCTGGTGATGACAAGAAAGGTAAACTGTTTTTAAACGTGTTTGTTGAACTTGTATAAAATAACACAGTATGGAAGTAGTCTCTCTGAAAGGTAAACAGTTGTACGTTTACAATTAAACATAATTGCTTAGAGCTCTAAATGAAGAGCAGTAATTAACTTTTTTCTTTTTTGGAGGGGTAGGAGGGGCAGAGGGCGAGGGAGAGAGAGAATCTTAAGCAGGCTCCACGCTGGGCTCAATCTCACAACCCTGAGATCATGACCTGAGCCAAAGTCAAGAGTCAGAGGCTTAGCCGACTGAGCCACCCATGTGCTCCAGTAATTAATTTTTTTTAAGTCCTGAGAATGTATACCTACTGCCTAATACTGGTGTTCTAAAATGCATGCTTGTTGAAAAGCCAATTTTGTGCATAGGAATGTTTCCTCACAATTTTTTTTTTTAAGATTTTATTTATCATGACCTGAGCCGAAGGCAGACGCTTAACAACTGAGCCACCCAGGCGCCCCGTTTCCTCACAATTTTAAGCGATAGTGATCACAGCGTAACTATAGAGCAGTGAAAACTAGTTATTAATTGAGATGATTGCAAGAGTTGTATTGACAGTGACCAATGGTTAGTGTGGTGGTGTTCCTTCAAGAAGCCTTTTTTTTTTTTTTTTTAATTTAAGATCCTCATTCAGTCAAGGTTGCTACAACTTAGTATTTCAGAGCATACCATTGGATATTAAAGGTCTGGCTTGAGGGGTGAAGATGAAGTGCAAACTTTGTCGATACGTTTTGGCATGTTTTATTTTCCAGGGATTGTGGATCAGTCACAACAAGCATACCAAGAAGCTTTTGAAATCAGCAAAAAGGAAATGCAACCAACACATCCTATTAGATTGGGTCTGGCCCTTAACTTCTCTGTGTTCTATTACGAAATTCTGAACTCCCCAGAGAAAGCTTGCTCTCTTGCAAAGACAGTACGTATTTTACCTGTTTTGTGGAAATTTAATAATCCTTATTATTTGAGCACTGAAATGTCCTTCTTTCATCATAGGCTTTTGATGAAGCCATTGCTGAACTTGATACATTAAGTGAAGAGTCCTACAAAGACAGCACGCTAATAATGCAATTACTGAGAGACAACTTGACAGTAAGTACATGACAGCGTCATGAATGGCCAGTGTGGTTGAAATTATATTCTATAGATTATTACAAGGAATATTTCTGGTCTCTTTATTGAATATAAAATTGTATCAGCTATTAAAGCTATGAAGAAAAACTGCCTTATAGAAACTAAGATTAGATCAAGGACCAAAAATGTATACTTTAGTTAGTTACATATCTATTGTTAGAGTTTTAGTTCTTAAAATAATTTTGTAAGCCCTGGTTTTGGACTTTCAATCACATAGGCTGTTTTATTTTCCAGTTCAATTTGGGTGTTTCCATTTGTTCCATTTTAGTCACAATAGTTTTTATTATCAAAATTTTACAAGTTCTCTTCATGTTTAAATTCCATTAAAAATGGTTTTCTTGGGGCACCTGGGTGGCTCAGTCAGTTAAACATCTGCCTTTGGCTCAGGTCATGATCCCTGGGGTCCTGGGATCAAGCCCCATGTCATGTTCCTTGCTCAGCAGTGAGCCTGCTTCTCCTCCTCCCCATTCTGCTCTCTCTGTCTCTCACTCATTCTCTATCTCAAATAAATAAATAAAACCTTTTTTAAAAAAATCGTTTTCTTGACGATAAAGTTGCTTCCATATTTATACAGCTATGGTACTCCATCAGTAACTTCAGTTAAAAAATTTCATATACCTTACGGAATTCAAATGGAAATCTATTTTGCCTAGCTAGCTAGCCTCTTAAAATAAACAAGACTTGTTATGGAATGTCATGCTTATCCTTAGCATACTCCAGACTCAGAAAAAAGAACTGTAATGCTATTATCACATTGAAAAAACCTACAGTAATTCCTTAATAATGTTTAATATCTAAACAGTACTCATTCAAGTTGTTTCTTTTTTAAATTGTCTTTAATAAACAGTTTTTTATTTGAATTGGGATCCAAATAAAGTCTACACCTTGCAAAGTGGTTGATATGTCTCTTTAGTCCCATAGGTTTCCCCATTCTCCTTCAGATAAATACTGATTTTGAAGTTTTGAATCTTAGGTGAAAAAATTATCAAGTACCTGCTATGCCAGGTAATGAGAGCTAGGAGTGAACAGTTGCAGTGTAGAGCCTGAGGACTGTATATCCTTTTATACATTTCACTTCCAGCTTTATTCTAATTCACTGCCAATTTTCTGAACCAGGTCTATATTCTGGTGGTGTTAATCATCATCAAAGAGTTTTTTGAACCACATTGTATACTTTGTTATTATTAAACACTTAAAATTATTTTAGAAAGTGTAACTGGGGGCTACTTACAAATTTGTGGGATTTTTATTTTCGTCAAGAGAATAACCTGTAGTTTCTTAAAGAATGAATTTTTTATGTCAAAGGAAAGAAGCACTTTGTTAGGTATTTTTAATATTAAGAATTTTCCTATTTTCTGATTTGAAGTGATGAGATGGTTGTCATTCCTAAAAGGTAAAAATTGAGACCTACTTGCTGTTACATTGTCATCACTTTGGCCTGGCTTGAAATACATACTTCCAGCTGATTTGGTTATTATTATAGCATGAAAGAGCATACTCCCAACAACTGAAAAGAGAACCAAGGATTGCATTCCGATTCTGTTACTAATTACTGTGTGTCTTCTCTGAGCCTTAGTAATATCACCTGTTATCATTATAGGTTGATTGGATCATTTATCTGTTAAGAAATTTTGCCAAAACTACCTAGTATTTGAGATTGGATGTGATTGACTAAATTGCCAACACATAACCCTGGTAGAAAAATGTATCAACTTTTTCAGGTGTTTATGGAAAATTTGAGAATCCTAGAAGGTTAAAACTGGGAAGAGATGTTAGAAGATAATTTCATCTTACAAAACCCGTTTAACAGGAACACACAGACTTCCAGAGGTCATTTAGCTTAATATGACCTTGGAAGAAATCTCCTTTCCAGGGCAGAGATCTATTTGGTTAATAAATAAAGCTAATGGGGGCGCCTGGGTGGTTCAGCTGGTTAAGCGACTGCCTTCGGCTCAGGTCATGATCCTGGAGTCCCTGGATCAAGTCCCGCATTGGGCTCCCTGCTCAGCAAGGGGTCTACTTCTCCCTCTGACCCTCCCCCCTCTCATGTGCTCTCTCTCATTCTCTCTCTCTCAAATAAATAAAATCTTTAAAAAATAAATAAATAAATAAAGCTAATGGATGATTTGGGAGTTAGAAAAGTATTACTGCATTTTTTTCCTTCATTTTTCATTGTATAAGCAGTCCTTTTATAAAAAATTACATCTAAAAGTCATTATGGACTGTTAAGACTTGTAAAATATACTAATTTTTGAAGAAGCTGAAATAATTTTGAGATTTTTTTTAACCTGCAAAATTAACATTAATGAAAAAAATTAATAGAATCCATAGTCTTAACACTATGGGACAATTCAGTTTTTACCTCTTAGAAGATTGGGTTCTGACCATACCGTTTTCTGTTCAAGTATTTATTTTGAATGCTATGGATTCAAAAGGTATGTTTTTCTAAGCTAAAAACATTAGAAAAGCTAAATTTGTAATTTAATTCAGACTTGATATTCTCACTCTTAAATTTCATGGAGTGTGAGATTCTCTTTGCAGTGGGAGTCTTATGTTGTACGAAAGAAATCAACCTGAGCTTTAACTTGGGTTTGAATTAAGATGATTCTCGTTTAGGTACACTAAACTTAAACATCTGTCTCTCATATTGGGGCTATTCAGAGCAGTTTGATATTCTCATTTTTGTAGCACTTCTGTATTTTTTATTTTGCTTTCTCTTCTATGATAACCAAGAGTTTCTTGTTATCTGACTTTATTTGAAGACAACTTGCTTTGTACTTAGAGTGTTGACACAGAAAGGTTAGGGAGAAAATGAGGGTGTTTTGTATCTTGAAGCTGTCTTCATTGCTGTAATCTTTTAAAGCTTTCAGCAAAAGCTGTGGTTATATTCTGGTAACTATGACAAATTTATTAAGATTTTTTTCAAACTGAAACATGCTGAAAAATCTTTCCTTCTTTTGCCAGTTGTGGACATCGGACACCCAAGGAGACGAAGCTGAAGCAGGAGAAGGAGGGGAAAATTAACCGGCCTTCCAACTTTGTCTGCCTCATTCTAAAATTTACATAGTAGACCATTTGTCATCCATGCTGTCCCACAAATAGTTTTTTGTTTACGATTTATGACAGGTTTATGTTACTTCTATTTGAATTTCTATATTTCCCATGTGGTTTTTATGTTGAATATTAGGGGAGTAGAGCCAGTTAACATTTAGGGAGTTATCTGTTTTCATCTTGAGGTGGCCAATATGGGGATGTGGAATTTTTATACTAGTTATAAATGTTTGGCATAGTACTTTTGGTACATTGTGGCTTCACAAGGGCCAGTGTTAAAACTGCTTCCATGTCTAAGCAAAGAAAACTGCCTACATACTGGTTTGTCCTGGTGGGGAATAAAAGGGATAATTGGTTCCAGATACAGGTGTAGTTTTTGTGGGTACTTTAAGGTTTGGAGCACTTACAAGGCTGTAGTAGAAATGGGTATTCTGTAGATAGTACATATTGAACCATGAGTATCTGTGGAATACTCTCAATGTGCACACCTTTGACTACAGTTGCAGAAGTGTTCCTTTAATTGTGACCCAATTTACTCTGGATAAGGGCAGAAACGGTTCACATTCCATTATTTGTAAAGTTACCTGCTGTTTGCTTTCATTATTTTTGCTACACTCCTTTTATTTGTATTTAAATGTTTTAGGCAACCTAAGAACAAATGTACAAGTAAAGACGCAGTAAAAATGAATTGCTTGATATCCATTACTTTATGTATATCAAGTACAGCAGCAAAATAAAAATCCCATGTATTTAACTTTTTTTAGGGTTTTTTTTGTTTTGTTTTTTGTTTTGGGGTTTTTTTTTTGCTTTTGTGATTTTTTTTTTTTTTTTTTGATACTTGCCTAACATGCATGTGCTGTAAAAATAGTTAACAGGGAAATAACTTGAGATGATGGCTAGCTTTGTTTAATGTCTTATGAAATTTTCATGAACAATCCAAGCATAATTGTTAAGAACACGTGTATTAAGTTCATGTAAGTGGAATAAAAGTTTTATGAATGGACTTTTCAACTACTTTCTCTACAGCTTTTCATGTAAATTAGTCTTCTGGTTCTGAAACTTCTCTAAATTGTACATTTTTGGAAATTTATTCCTTATTCCCTCTTGGCAGCTAATGGGCTTTTACCAAGTTTAAATACAAAGTTTATCGTAACAAAATACTACTAATATAACTACTACTGTTCCCAACCATGTCCCATATTCCTCCCCTCCCCTGGGTGGGGGGAGAAAGTTTTGTATTTTGTTTGTTTGGTTTGGGGGGTTTTTTTTGGTTTGTTTTTTTTTTTTTTTCAGAGACGGGATTGATTGGAAAAAAGTAATGTGTTCCATTTAAAATTTTGGTATACGGCATTTTCTAACTTAGGAAGCCACCATGTTCTTGGCCCATCATGACATTGGGTAGCATTAAGTTTTGTGCTTCCAAATCACTTTTGTTTTTAAGAATTTCTTGATATTGTTATAGCCTGCCTTCAATTTTGATCCTTTATTCTATTTGTCAGGTGCACAGGATTACCTTTTTTAGCCTTCCGTCTTGTCACCAACCATTCCTACTTGGTGGCCGTGTACTTGGAAAAAAGGCCGCATGATCTTTCTGGCTCCACTCAGTGTCTAAGGATACCTTGCTTCCTTTGCTTGCATCCCACAAACTATTTCCCTCATCCTATTTACTGCAGCAAATCTCTCCTTAGTTGATGAGATTGTGTTTATCTCCTTGTAAGCCCTACCTATCCTGAATGGTCTGTCATTGTCTGCCTTTAAAATCCTTCCTCTTTCTCTCTTTAAATAATGATGGGGCTAAGTTATACCCAAAGCTCACCCTCAGACTATTTTCCTCAGTACCTTGCAGAAAACACCAAACAAAAATATCATTTTAAAAGAGGTGTATTTTTTTTTTCTTTTAGAATGTAAGCTCCTCAAGAGCAGGGACAATGTTTTCTGTATGTTCTATTGTGCCTAGTACACTGTAAATGCTCAATAAATATTGATGACGGGAGGCAGTGAGTCTTGATGATAAGGGTGAGAAACGGAAATCCCAAATAACTGTTTTGTTGCTTGTTTTATTATGACCTCAGATTAAATTGGGAAATACCAGCCCTTTGGCACAGTTGTCCCAAATACTACATTCAAATAAAAGTGCAATGGAGGCCTTGGGGTCTTTCTTTCAAGGCGAAAAGATCTCTTATGCATTGGGGCAAAATAATCATCTTCATGGCTCTTTTTTTAAACTGATTTCTCCTGAGCCCCAGGCCAAGGACATGAAGTAATTGTTTATAGCTAAGGAGCATTAAACTAGACTTGAGGAGATGGATTTCATTCAAGTATAAATAAAAACTAAAGCTTGTCACATTTGCCTATTTATGTGCATTAGTCTTCTAAACTAGTTTGATTCTGAAATAAATTGTGATAATACTTAATATTAGCTGTTAATGTTTCTACGTACTAGTGCCCAATAGATGAAGGAAGATTCCAACCTGAGATTTTTTTGCCTTGGGATTTGAATAATAAATTTTTATGACATTTCTTTAATTGTCCCAAATCCAGGCTTCATGTCTGTTTTTGTCACTATAACATTGATATTTCCAGGAAATTGGAGAAAACAACGTATTTTCTGTGTGTGGAGTATTGGGATTGTTAAAAAAAAAAAAATGTCTGCTTCACAGTTGCCCTTTTGAGAGAGGAGCCGCATTGAGATCAGTTGAAAGGATGGACTTGGCTACAGCTCTTACCTATGGTCCTAGCTTTTCCATTTAATAGTTCTGCTATTACGTCATGCTCTAAAGATCATAGAAATGGTGAGGGGGGAGTATAAGAGAAAAAGAATGTCAAGTAGTTTAACTAGAGGGCCTCCAATTTTTTTCCTTCCTGTCTTCCCTACAAAATAGTCACCAATCCTGCCATGGCCCAAAACATACTTAAAACTAATAATGGCCAGTTTGGAATCTGCAGTCTTCAATTATTTGTGGTTAAACCTGCATTTGAGAGTGAAACTTCGATTGAATAATTGAACTCTTACCAACAGTGAAAAGCCTCTGGGTGCAAATCGAAGAATTTTGGAGACTTTTCCAGCAGTGGCAGTTATCATTGAAACAGTTTCATATCTACATTAGGGGAGAACAGCACTTCATTTGGATGCAAGTACATTAATCACTGCATGAGAGTCTATACAGTGTGTTAGGAACTTCCTCCTGACTGGTGCTGTGTACTGAGAAGATAGTCTTACAAAACATTCCTGCAGAGAAAGATCAAGGAACCATAAATTGCTTTATTTTGTTGTATGTAGGAAAATAAGTGGTGGAATTGAAACCTCTATAGTTTTAAGGGGGTCTCTGAAACTGGGCGTTTGGAAGATGGCTAGACGTGGGTCTTTTTCTAAATGTGAAATTAATGTCAATAAAGTACTCTTCCCTTCTCTTTAGTGCCGCTTACAGCAGTCACAGTGTTACTGGTTAATTCTAGCTCTCCTTTAGACTAAAGGCCTAAAATTAAAGATATGCTGGGTCTGTATAGGTATTTCTTTTAAGAAACTTCACAGTGGCCTCTAAGGAAAATGGTACTCTTGAATGACAAAATACGGTATTCAAGATCTCATCACAGTAGATCTGCTTTAAGAATTTGAAAAGCATAAAATTGCTGAGTACATCAAAATCTGATCATGCTACTCAACCTGGATTCTTCGAAGTCTATTTTATATATGATTGTCAGCCCCGAAGTGTTAAAGAACTTGGAAGTTACTGAAGTAGCAAGACTTGATAGGCTAACTTTGGGGAGACATCTGTATCTGCCCTATATCATTACCGTAATTAGTTTATAAGAATGACTCTCCTGGACAAGCAAACATATGTGTCTTTTGGGTATAGAAACCAAGTTGAAAGTGGATATATTTGGGCACAGCTATTACCGACCCTAGGTAATGCCAGAGACTCAGTTGATAATGAGTACCTTTTTTCTGTATTTGAGCTCATTCTATGAAATTTCTGAAAGCCCAAACTTAACCAAATGTTCTTAAAAGACTTAAGTATTAATTTCCAATTCCTTAGAAGCCATCAGTATTTTAAGTAGGTGCTTGACATTTTTTGTTACTGGATGTTGGTTTGGGCCAGCCATTTTTCTGAATGTTTAAGAAGGGCTTCTCAGATTTATGTTTGAGTCAAGACTTAGCAGAATGAATGGGATCCAGATGGAGGCAGCATGTGCAAAGACATCAAGTTACGAGAACTTGAAAGACTTCCGTGCACTCAAAAGTGAGGGACTCTGTAGAAAGAAGAAATAGGCTCCCATGTGCTGTAATGATTGAGTGTCCATGCTGCCAAAGTCTGTAGGGGAACACATAATATTTGGCAAAACAAAGGTGTGTAAGATTACATTTTGAGTCAAAAAAAAAAGGATATTTCTAAAACAACTATGGTCTGCAAAACAAGTTTGTGGATCTCCTTGGCAGATGATTCCCAAAGCAAGGAAATTAAGGGTAAAGTTTACCTGTCCTAACAGGTTCTCCACATTAATGACTGATTTAGTTTGGGAGCGGGTACTATATTAGAACTTCAACTGTGTTGAGAGAAAAGTAACGATTTTGAGTATTTTAAGAAAATGCCATTTGCACTTTTAAATCATGCCATGCACAAAAATCAAATACAGAAGAATGAAAGAGTTAAACTCTGATGTTCATAAGATGTAGGTGATACAAAGTTTGTGAGGAAACATCTCTTAAAATGGACACAGGAACCCTAACTAGGAAAATTATACGTAAACTCAGACTCAGTATATGAGCCTTAATATAAATCCAACTACATAAAAATTTAGATAACTGGAAGTGAAAAGTAACACATATAACGTAAAAAATTGGTATACATATATAAACAATAGGAAAGTGGGCAAAGGTTTTGAACAGGCATTTTTGTGGAGGAGGAAATACATGACCAGTAGATATATGAAGAGAGGTTTAACCAGGGGAATGCAAACCAGGACCACAATGAGATACCACCATTTTACCCCCACATAATGTAATTTGGAAGTCTGGTCATACCAAATGTTGGAGATGATGTGGTTTGAGACCTCCCAGTACTGATGGGAGTTTATTACATCCCTTTGGAAAATAATTTGGCATTATCTCAAAGTTGACATTCACATCCCTACAGTTGAGCATTTCTCTCCTGGGTGTATCTCCTGGAACACTTGAATTGCACACCAGGAAATTCACAGCTGCACTATTTAAGCAAAAAAAAATGAGACAATCCAAATGTCCATTGAAAGAACGGATAGAGTTATTTTACCCAACGACATAATCTTCATTTATGAAAATGAAACTATTACCCAGTTAGTTGGTAACATGATTTTAATAATATTTAGTGAAAAACATAATACAGTATGATATCCTTATAAAAATGAACAAAATGTCTTGCTTAAGCATACATATACATGATAAAACTTTTCTTTCCTCTACCATGGATATTCCTGAGAAAATTTAGAATAGAGTTTACCTATGGAGAAGCAGGGAGACAGGCTAGGACAGAAGGACATCGGTAAATATATGTTACTAGGTAATGTGACCATCGTGGGAATGGGATGGTGAGTTCACAAATACTCATTAGAAAGCAATCCATTCAAGAATAGGGATAAAACAAGGATTATGTTTAATCCAGCTCTAGGCACTAGAGGCCACAAAGGAAAAGAACTAAAGCGGAACAGTACAGTGGGCCAGTAAATTCAGTAGTCAAAGGCTTGCTTGATGGTAATAAGATTAGCAGAGAAAATATGAAAAGTAATCACCAAGTTTGATGAACCAGCACACAAGATGGTTAATTGCTGTCCTAGTCGTTACACCCTAAAATTGTCCTGCTGTCCTTTCTGTTTGACTCTGGAGGAGCAGGGAGCAAGAACTGGAGATTTAGTCAGAGGAAGGACAGCTGGGAAGACATTATGAGGAAACACTGCAACTAGTGAAAAGTCCAGGTCTCCAAAATGAAGGAGCAAGGAAGTCTGTAAGAACTTTTGGTAACACATAGCCTGTCTCTGTCGGGCCTGAAGAATTTTTTCTTCTACCAGCCATACCACTTCAGTGAATTCAGACTGTCTGAAGGTTCCGCACTTCTCAACCTTTAGAGGAAATGCACTGCATTCAGTCCTGAATCCCTGAGGCATCTGTCACACCCCTGAATAGCCAAGGCAAGATTTTCACTATTTTTTCTCCTACTCCTCTGGGATTCTTCAAAAGTTTAACTGGTTTCTGTAGGAAAAGTCTACTGACGAGAGTTGAAGGTACGGAATCTATAATCCTTAAATAGTACTAGATAAAATATATGGTTGTTGGTTCTTTATTTTTTTCTTTCCCAGGATTTGTCTTTCTTTCTTTCCCAGAAAGTCTTTTTAGAGACCTTAGTCCATTCTTGGAGAACTTAATAAGGGGTCAGAGTTGAGCCAAAAACTTTGGAAATGGAAGAATTTGGAGAAAGCTTTGGAGTGCTGAGCATTCCTCTGCACCATTACCTGACTGCTCAGTGAAGGAGGGGACGGTGTTCCAATGGGGATACTTCACAGATTATTCCAGAATCTAATCCATGTGGCACATAGTGACAATAGTTAGGCTCATTGGGCATTCTCCAGTCAAAGGATGGTGTCTAGCTGGCTTTGCCAACGGCAGAGTGGGGAGAGGTAACTGCATTAGGAATGGCCTGCTCTCTCAAGGTTTGTGGAGGCAGAGAATGTGGACGTGTTTCCAGTCGGCGAGGGGCAAGACTAGAAATTTCTGCAGTGCAGAATGCAACTCAGGTTGGTTTTAAACCAATGAAAATGTTGAATGTGTCCTCCATTTTCTTGAGAAGCTATTTTTCTTTAGTAGCATCAGTAATGGGACAAAGAGATATCATGTGCCTCCTTTTGCAATGCCCTAAGGACCTGACATCACTTCAGTAGGATTCCTGGAAAAAGTGCATAACCGGAAACTAATGGGAAGACATCAGGATAAAACAAAACGGGGACATTCTACAAATCAATTGGTCATGAGAGTCAAAACTGAGAAATCGTTCCAGATTAAGGAGACTAAGGAGACATAGCAATCACAAGCAACTGAAGATCCAGTTCCCAAGACCTTATTTCCAGAATCAAGTTTGTTTTGTATTTTAACAGCTACTTGGTTTTTAATATTAAAAAAATGTCATAGGGATATTGATAACAGTAGTATCCCTTTGAGTTCTTGGTTGATTTGGAAAGGACTTTAGTGATAAATGCCCTTGGCTTCTAGTCCAAGGTCAATTTTATTGTAAGTGTCCATCCTCGGGATTGGTGGGCCCTGCTCTTGTTCACATGGAGGCATGGAATTGTGGCCTTTTCTGCTCCCTGACCTCCACTGGGATCTGTTTTGCTCCTTTTGACTTACAACTGGAGTGTTGTATCTATTGAGTATTTGCCATAGTTCTGATGCTCGTTTGTGGTCTCAGGATTCTGTTGTGACTTAGTCTTTGAAAATGTAGAGCTCGTCTCTAGGTGTGACCTGGTCAGGCTGGGACCAGAGCCACATTTACCTGGTGACAGCAGTGATACAAATGAAACTTCTAGGGCCCGTGTGTGTGTGTGTGTGTGTGTGTGTGTGTGTGTGTGTGTGTGACAGAGGGAAGAAGATAGTAGACCCAGTGGAAATTTGCCAGCCCTGATTTGGAAAAAGCAGTCTCAGGTGTGGGGAGAAGCAATATCCATCTGTTCCCACACTGACAATGAGTCGTAGAGTTGTAAGGAATAAAAACTCTAGAACAGTGGTTCCTAAACTTGGCTGCCCATTAGAATCACCCCAGTATTACTCAAGACCTTCTACTTACCAGTATCTGGGGTAGGACCCAGGTATCATTCTTTTAAGCTCCCATGTGTATAAATTATAAGTGAATAAAACAGCCTTTGAAAAGAATCTATTATCTGGTGTTGAGCATTCGTCCTGGGCCACTGGGGAGATCAGGCCTCAGCCCACCTTCCACTGGTTGCTTGTGAGTTTGCCCAAGTGACAACTTTCTTGCTAATGAGCTCAGTTTCCTCATCTGTTAAAAGGATTCTAACCATGGGCTTTGGAATCAGACATCCTCCCAGAAGAGGAAGGGGATTTGTAAGAAGCTGGGATTCCACAGATAGGGCTGGGGGGCTGTTTTCAGCCGCTGTTGTCCTTCAGGTGTACAAGCTGAAGACATAAAAAAAAAAGAGAAAAAAGTCATTGCTTATTCATGTCATCTCTCTAGAACTGCAGAATACAATGTTTTCCCCATCAAAGACTCTTAGCCTGGAAGAAAGAAAAAAACGATCTACTGTGGATTTATCTGCCGAAGTCCAGAGGAACTGTTACTAGATTTTCATACTAAAAACGGAACAGGGAAAAAGTACAGAAGGCTCTTCTCTCCTTCTCACATTTAACACACCTGCCTCATGAGAAAGTGATGTG